AATCTTTACTTAAAACCCATCTTTTTAGACTAGCTTTTGATATGTAATTTTTTTAACCTACTATGTAATATATTTAGTGTTTTTTATATTTATTTAATTTTTAGCGTTGTTTATTCTTAGCCTTAATTATTTTGCTCATTTTAGCTTTTATTTTCTTTTAACATTTACGTGTTGTCACGCGCTTTTGATCATATTTGCATGGAAAAGGCGCGTTATAAATTTTTAATTATTATTATTATTATTATTATTATTATTATTATTATTATTATCATTATTATTTGTTTGCCCAAAATGCGGTTCTACCCTGGCAAAATGCTCAATCTATAATGAAGCTTCAAAGGGGGCTTTTCTTCCCTCATTCCCACCTGCGGCTAAAAGGTTTTGTGTACATTGTTGAGGCCAATAACCACCTTTTAGCATCGTTGCACATTAATTTCTGTCACGCGTACGCAGAACCTTTGTGCCATGATACGCGCATCAAGTGCAGTGTGGCATTTCCACTCGTAAATGACCCAGCTTAGCCTGAGAAACAAACTACCGACATTTCGCGACGTCACCACTGGTTTCCCCACCAAGTGACGTCTGAGAAACGAGCGCGGAAATTCCATACTGATGACGTGTCACTACCCAGATCTGGGTAGCACCTCTGATTGGTTGAAAATTTGCTTTCACCAATCAGAAATAATTCCAAGATCTGGATAGTGACGAAATCAAAATCCATCCCCGGTGGGACCGGAAGTAGCTCTCACTACGGGGGTGTATACTGGCAAGTTATGGAGTGAAATACCTTGTAAAAACTCAGGGTTCGTGCTAAGCAGCAATTTTCAGCAATTTTCAGACCTGAAAAACGTCTGGAAAATGGCGATAAAGTCTGAAAAAATAGAAAAAAATCTTGATTTTTTTTAAAGCTACAACAAATACTGTTTTGTAACTGAACTTTTTTTCGTTTCGGTCAAATCTTCTTCTTTTCGCCCGTATGTTTTCAGCCTACATGTATCATGAAAAAAGCTTTGTTTTTGCGTTTTTTAAGGTGTCTATTGATCACTGACCTATTTGATCACCTTGAGTCTGGAAAAAGAAATTATTGTTTCGGAAAAAAGTCTGGAAAAAGTCTTGAATTTATTTCCTGGTATCTGTGCAAAGCATTAACGGTAGTGAAAAAAGGATGAGCTAAGGATTTTAGGAAGTAAAGAAGGGACGGAGAAAAGGCCCGAAAAGAATTGTTACCAGGCCTGTCCCATTGGTTCCTTGGAGAACTTCCATGCAAACGCAGGCGTCTAGAGATTTAGAATCACGTTTACGGTTAACGCCATTTTGAAACATGTTGCTAAGCTTTCTCTTTATTTATCGTTCAATGTTTATCTTTACTACTCAAAAATAAAGACATTCATGCCACATCTATCCGTAAGGATAATTTTTTTCAGTTTTTATCTCTCGATTTCCTAACTTGAGTAATTGTAATACTTAAACCTGATGTTTCGGCTTTGTCGTCAACGTAATTCTTCGATTCCGAATCGACGGGAGTGATCGTGGCAGTAACTTTTATGAGACCAAATTTATGGATTGTAGTAGTCGTTGAGAGGAAAAGCGAGAGATTTAGAGTCGCATTTACGGCAAACGGCAAACATTAGACCCAAGGTGACGTTTTCTTTAATCAGGAAATTAACAGGCACAAACTTTGCAAAACAATTGTTATGGATTAGACTGATCGACATGAAACTACTAACTTTTTTGTGTAGATACAACAACTGAATCGGCTTCCGACGAAAACTGCGCAAGGGTGGTGCAGTGGGGAGGGCACTTGCCTCCTTTCCCCGGGGGGGTGGGTACTCCCTATAATGGCCTTTATGGGGAGGCTCAGACCGAAAAGGGTACCTTTTTCATGCTTCGGATATATGAAAGGGTAGGTTTGTTGTTGGTTCTCTTCCTTGCCGAGACGTTTTTCTCTGGGTGTTCCGGTTTTCTCCTCTCTCCAAAAACCAACCTTTCCAAATTCCAATTCGATCCGCAACGCACGGACACGTTTAAGCGGGTTCTTAACAACTTCTAAGTGCTCCGTGGGAAAACAGATTACAAATTACAATTTTATTTATTTAGTTTTTAAACTGATACCCTGGTCACGTAAAAATTGACCTTGCCGTTTGTAAATACACTTTATTTTTAAAAACCTGGTGAGATTACATAATTTACAGATTGCAATCAAACTTCCATGTGCGACCTTCTCGGATACGCGACATGTTGTTCGAACCACTAAAATTAGTTTTCCTACTCAAAGCACTACTGAAAACTGGACCATCAAATCTTTGCATTTTAGGTGGATACTTAAAGCAAATACTACTCTTCTATACTAACATAGTAACTTATGCTCAGGCATGAACATTATACAATGAAATAACCTTTAGTTTACAACTGGGCTAGTTTGGAGTTAGGACAAACCTTATTTCATAATGCAAGGTTGCAAAACTACTGCTTCTATGTTCACAAAATGATTGGCTCTAAAATATATACAATTCTACTAAACTATAAACCTTGCAATGTTGTTTGCATTGAAATCAAACTTCAATTTGCGATCAAAAATCTCGCCATTTTATACATGAAAAGTATTTTTTAGTTGTAGCCTTAGGAACTAATTAAGGAAGTAAGTTTTTTTAAACAAATTACCTAAAAAGACAGGGAAATTAGCTTATCCTGATGTTATTCGGTTCGCAATAACAAGTTTATCATTGTCCGAGCTATCGATGTACACTTTTACAAGGCTGGTGATTTGTGCTTTTGCAAGACATTTTAAAGATTAGGGTACTCAAGGTACCGCCTACACACACACACACACACAAAATAAAATCAGTGGGAAAAATAATTAAGCCGGCCGCAAAGATGAACCGCTGGGCCAAGCAAGTCAGTTCTCTTTTAATTCTTTTAATTAATGTTCGTATGCTGCAGAGATTGACTCTTTACATTTTCCGCCGGGGACTACCTCATTGGAATTCTGCGGAAGGGCTGTTTCGTTATTCCATGGTGTGTCGTTAGTGTAATACCTGCAACAGTAATGTATAAGAGATAAAAATTAGTAAAGCACATATATTCATTTCAAAAGACTCAAGCTGGGTTAAGTAGCATTTAGGTTCATTTTACCTCAGCAAACCCTCACGTTCATATTTAGTGGTAGCAAATAAAAGAATATTCAATTATTTGTACCTCACATATCAGAAAAAAAGAGAAAAGAGTTAAAATCATTCTTTTTACGGTAGGGATACGGCGCTTTAGCGTTTTTTTTTCAAATGCAAAGCCCCACATATGCATGGGTTGTAATTTAGACTGATAAGTACAGAAGTGTGGTCGAATAATTGAGGTGATTAGTATCTTCAATGTTAAAAAGCGGTTAATTGATATTATTATATAGATACTGATAAAATACCAGGATTTTTCCTTTTACTAAAAAATCATATCTTCATCGCGCGCAGTGAAGATACTATTTTATCTCTTCGTCTGAGGATACTGGTGTCGCCATGGTCACTAGCATGATTAGCCAATTACAAGAGAGCTTCCCGCTCAGGTTATTAAGTATTATTGTCTTTATTTCTCCTTTTTAACTTTATATCCGAGTTTTATAACATTTTTGTGACAGGCATTTTGCGATACGGGATCATTTTAATTGCACTATTTTGCTGTTTCGAAAATAAATTTAAAAAAATTGTGTTTCATGTAGGAATTTCATCAGTATCTATGAAATAAACAGAACATTACATGGCCTCGCGGGGAAACGAATTTTATCTTCGAGTGCTGAAAGTATCTCTCACGAGTGAGGGAAAGTAATATCCTCTATTTTTACCTCAGTCATAGTAAAAGCTGACTTCAGGTGTAGTCAATAATGTGGTTTTTAAAGGTGAATACTGCTTCGCCTGTTTGGTACTAGTAAAAGTACCAAATGCACCCAAGTTGATAAAACTGCAATATAAAAAGACCTGGCAGACCTCCTATGGTCCTAATTGTCACAAAACAATTACCTTTACTTTTCTTCACCAAAGTGAAATGACACGTCATCCCCAATCAGCATGAAAGGTGCCCACTGCCTCACTTCAGGGAAACCGTTATTTCGCATCCACTTCATGGCCCGGTGAAGACATTCACTTGCACTTTCTTCGCTCTACACACAAGTGATTGTATGTAATTCCCCAGTGTGATCTCGAGCTATATACAAAGCGCGCGTTTTCTAACATTCTCCCTCTCTCTGGAACAATATATCACAGCAAATAAGAACTACAGAGAGCTTGTGTTCTTTTATGAATAGAGTTAACACCTTTTTATTTAGCCGTATATATATATATATATATATATATATATATATATATATATTGTTGTTTTTGTTTTTGTTCTTGTTTAAGTAACCCTGTTAGGCGTCATTGGTTATCGAGTGAAATGGCGCCATATAAATAACTTATTACTATTATTATTATGAAAAGGAAGGAAAAAACAAAAAATTGCCAAGACTATCTTTGACCGTTTTCTTTTCAGATGTCAAGACAGCCACAATCAAGCGTGGTTCATGATTCTCTCTGGAGTTCGTTGGCTCGGATTTCGCCTTGACATGCTGTGCTTTTTTCTCGTTACTTTGGTTCTGTTTGGGCAGCTGATAATGGAGTCTGAGCCAGGTGAAGTTTGCACGCTTTGCAGACCTCTCTTTTTTTCAGTAATTTTGCTATTAAGGGTTTAATATTTTGGGGAAAAATCTCGATCCCGAGTTCGCTTTTCTTTCGAACATCGAAGTGCTGACCGCAAAAAAAGGGGTTTTAGATTCATTGTGCCAAGGACCTAATTTTATGACCAGATCAGCAAGCGCGTGAGTTTGCCGACTTGTCTCCACTTTAGAGAAAACGAGATTTAGAAATAGACTGCTTCCAATCCGGCTATAACTGACTCAGGGAATCAAGAAGCTTCATAGAACAGATGTTAGCAATTATTTTGAATAAAAATGTTTTTTTGTCCTTTCTCCATTAGGTGTAACCGCTTTGTCACTGGTGTACACGCTTCAGCTGGTTGTAGACACGTCACAGTTTGGAGTCATTCAGTGCTCTGAAGTGGAAAGTTTTATGACGTCAGTGGAACGCGTTGTGACGTACACCGAGATTGAGGAGGAGCCTGGATACCAGATCCAGTGCCGGCCCTCTCGTGAATGGCCCGACAGAGGGGAAATACAATTTCGTGGCATCAGCCTTGTTTACTACCAGGGTGGGCCTGAGGTGCTGAGAAACCTCAGTTTTACTATTCAGGCGGAAGAGAAAGTGGCAATTGCTGGCCGCACGGGAGCAGGGAAGTCCTCCATTGTTGCCGCGCTTTTTCGCATGCCTGAGGCAACGGGTGAAATCATCATTGATGACGTCAGCATCAGCAGCATCTGCCTCCAAAATTCACGTCGAGCGATTTCAGTTATTACCCAAGATCCTATTCTATTTACCGGCTCACTTCGCATGAATTTGGATCCCTTTGACGAGTACGGAGACAATGAATTATGGGATGCACTGGAAGAAACGAGTCTTACAGCCATGGTGCAAAAATTGCCATGGAAACTAAGCGAGGAAGTAAGGGAAGGCGGAATCAACTTCAGTGTTGGAGAAAGACAACTTCTATGTCTGGCTCGTGCATTACTGAAGAAAAGCAGGATTATTGTCATGGACGAAGCAACAGCAAACGTCGATTACGAAACAGATCGAGTTATTCAAGAAACCATACGAGCAAAGTTCAAACAATGTACGGTTATCACGATCGCTCACCGACTAAACACTATCAAAGATTGCGACCGAGTGTTGGTTCTAGATGACGGAGGTA